TATGCAACGAGCACTCGGATGACAATTGTTCAAATAGTGGTGCCACGCCGAATCAAAAAAAGGTGTTTTTAAAGATGTTAATGACATGAATGCAGATGATCAATTTACATCAACTGAGTTTTCTACAACCAAATATCAGCGAAAGATTAAGGTTGAGCACGAATTGAAAAGGATGAAGATGATTCTTGAGTCTTTGTTGTATGCTCAAGTTGTTACTCTGAGATTAATAATATGTTCTTTTCTAATTTTATTTTTAGAATAATATAATGTGAGCTATTTTGCTAGACACCTTCAATAATTATGATATTGTTAAGATATATGATATCATCAATATTGGAAAATATATGTGTGATATATTTTCTGTATTGATCCTATTAGGAGAATAATATATTTATCTTTATTTATGTTAAAGATATTAATAAGAGAATATATCTTTGGGTTTTTAGAATAACCTCTTTGATGCACTAAAATTTCTGCTCCGCCCATTTCTATTTGTCTTACTCACTTATATTTTATATAATAATAATTATTAACTTACATATATAACTAAGTACCACTTTAATTACGTATAAAAATTAATTATGAAAAGTTGAAAACACGATATTTAAATACTACACATTGAAACGCCACTTATAACAAATATCACACATTTATAATTTTTGATTTGTACATAATAAGCCATAACAAACCGTGAAAGTTGAATAATAAAGAATTAAGGTACTCTGTAATATAATTCTAAGCACTAGCCACATCACCAACAAAATTATGCCAAACCTTTTCAATTATTAAAGATTTTCAATTACTAAAGATGAATCAAAGACAGGATGATCTAAAATGTACCCATAAATTCAAAGAATGATTATCTAACATATGCCCATAAATCTCCCGTAGTACTTATTTTTTTAAAAGTGACCCATAATCTTTTTTTTTTCTTTGGAAAGAAGTGACTCATAATCTTGATTAAAACAATTGAGTGATTCATTATTATTATTTAACTAATATAAAAATATATATATATATATTTATAGTAAATGTATCAAGTATCAACCATATCATTATTAAAACAGAAATAATGTTAAAAAGCAATATAAAATCTTAAATACTCTAATATAATTTTTACACTCCACAATACTATCTTTTTTTTTTTAAGCTACTCCACAATACTATCTAGATATAGTTTTATTTGTATTCTATATATATTCCCTTACTGCCATCAAAATAAAAATATATTCACTTACTATAAAATATTAATTTTATTAATAAAATCACACAAAAAGGTTGTCTGATTGATAATCTAAATATACATTAGTTACATATATATTTTTCAATTTTTTTTTTATATATACATGTATAGTTAGATGATATCATTTTAACTCATATCAAAGATATGGATCAATGCGATAAAAAAATGCAAGGTTAAATAGATATCGAATTTTGAAAGAAAAACAACGACTATCATATCATTCACAAAGGTCATATAATCAACTAAGAAGACCACTCAGTGACATATCAAATTGTAAGTTTTTGCTTCTATGACTTCAAATTAGTGACAATTTTTTCATTTTTGTTGTAATTTAGCTGCCCTTTAAAATGGCTTATAGTACAAGCACTATGACATAGTGTAAATAAACTTTAAAAATCTCAATTTTACACTTCAAATGATTATGAACGATCATTTGTGGGTCAATGTCAATTGGGTGCTCCGAGTGAACTAGCATCTTCCTCTAATAACACCAGAATAAGCAACGTAGATTCTAGCCTATGGTTTGGTAGAAATGAAAGTTCACATCGTTCACCGAAAGCCGGAAAACACATTATACAAAACGGAAGAATTTGTAATAAAAACTCTTACTGCTGATCAATAGTAATAAAAATAATATTTTAAGATAATCATAGTAGACAATACTATATAATATGTGTATTATACGACAAGTAACAATTAAAAGTCTTATTCAATGGTAAAAAATTTAAGAAATGGTTAGATTTAGGTCCGTGCAAATTATTATTCACTTATAAAACATTATTGTTAAATTATTTTGTCCTTATAAATAAAATATATGTACCCACCACGACCTTATATATGGATCTAAAAGTTTAACTATAGAAATGTTGGATGGTATTTTTTTTAAAAAAAAAAAAAAAAAAAAAAAAAAAAAAAAAAAAAAAAACTCAATATGAAAGAACAATCTTGAGATGATATATTTAGACTCATTAGTTTATATATATTAATGTATATAATTATAAAAAATGGCTAAACATTTACTAAATTAACTTCTAATTCTCCGTAAAAAAAATATATTAGCAATACCGATTATAAAAAGGTTGTCTTATATTATGACCATTATTAATCATAATAATAATTCAATTTTATCCGTGCATGGCACAGGTCTTACACTAGTTATTATGACCATTGGCGGATCTACATAGTAACAAGGGGTAGCATGTGCTACCCCTACAAATTTGGTTAAATTTTTTTAAAATGCCTAATTATACTACATGCTAACCATTGCTGCAGTGGTAGAAGGAGAATATCTCAAATTGAGTTTTGAGGCAAGCCCATCAGGGGTTCTACAAAATTACTAGTACTTAACTACTAATTAACATAAAAAGTTTATTATTATTATTATTATGATTATTATTATTATTATAATTATATTTCAAAAACAGACAATGTCATACAACCTATAAAAAATTAGTGGGAAGCCAAGATACAATCTGGAGGGCCCACTCCTTTAAGTATAGCAATTATTTTTTATACGTCTAATATATCTTAGTAATTGTTTTTTTGAATAAGTTCTCAGTCAAATGTATGTATGTTCAAAATCAAATCGTTAATTAATTTGGAGCACGAAAATGTACTAACGTGTAGCATCGCATCAAAAAAATCATTCGGCTTATTAATTTGGTAATTGTTTTTGGAGAATTTTTCAATATATATGAATCCCTAAAATAAAATTCGATTTTAATTTGAGTTTTAAATGTTCTTAAACAACTACACACGACTGCGCTACCCCAAATCGGAAATCCTGGATCAGCCACTGATTATGACTTTAAATTGTTGGAATATACATCATCTATCTTATGTACATAGTAATCTATATATTTGTTATCAAAAAAATTTGACTATATATTAACTAAAATAAAATAAAATAAAAGACCAACAATCTTAGTTAATAATAATATTATTACCTTATTTAAGTTCATCATGATTTATAGATACCTAATATAAAGGTATAAAATTATATGAAAGAAATATGTTAGCTAAATATGGAAAAGATATTTTATACTATACAATAGTTTTAAAGAAGATTTAGCAAAAAAAAAAAAAAAAAAAAAAAAAAAAAAAAAAAAAAAAACATTTTAGAAGGAAAAAATTTAATCAGGAGATGACACGTGTCACTCCTGGTCTCTCTTTTAGTATATAGTTATTTATTGATATCTATCACATATAGACATATAGAAATATATAATCAAATTAAGATAAAAACATAATTAAACCATCAATCAATCACATACTAAAGATGTCAGCATATTTTAGTAATATGGACTATTTGTTTGATTGATTGATTTAATATTTCTCAGTGTTTATCTATGTGAAGAATTCAAAAAATTGTTTCATTGGACAGTCATAATCTTGAAATGTTATCTGTTGACCAAACTATTTTTTTTTAGTATTAAGCTTGAGTGACTATTCAAAATACACGATTATACAAGTATAAGAAAAGTAATATGGACTATTTGTTTGATAACTATTTGTTTGATTTTTTTTTAAATAATGTTTTTTTTTTTTTTGTATTTATGAGCCTAAAATTGGTTATATATTTAGATAAAATTTCTAATATTAAAAGATAATATATAATATTTAATTAATTTAAACTTAAAAATCTCATTCGCCAATTTTGCTTACATGGCATTTAAATTATTTAATTCTAAAAGAAATTAATAATCTCTTATTTAATTGGCTACTACTAAGATTTATAATTCTACACGGCGCGCTGAAAAAATTAGATCCTACGTGGCTCTCTAAAAACTCGGGAAAAAACTCCCCTTTATATATATATATTTATATATATATATATATTAGATTGCTTAATAAAAATTCATTGTTACATAAAAAGAAAGTTTATAAAATTATAAAATTTGAAATAAACTTTCTTAAATATTAAATAACCCTTATAAATATTATGTGTGTTTGATTATATTATTATTTTGCATAATTCATACTTTTCAATATTTGGTGAATCTGTTCATATTTTTTATACTTTACCATTATTTTTTCTGTCAAATTTATTATTGTCGTGATAAATATTTAGCAATCAACCTTAATTTAAAATTTCACATCTCTTAATTCATCTAACCCGTGTGTTAATGGAGCTTATCTAATAAAAAGAGGGGGGGGGGGGGGGGAAGGTTTGGCACAAAGCTGCTCGATGTCTCGCTTCCAAGAGGTGAGGGGAGCCTTCAACCCGACCAACTCTCCCTCTTTACTTGTGGTCACCTTGTTAAGAGCTCGGTGGTCTACATTTTATGACAAATTCATGTGATTATTGGGATAAAACTCTTTAGCTAATGTCTAATAATATTTCGACTAATTATTATTTTTAATAAGTAATCAATTTACCTTACACGATTTCTAATTCTTTTTCCATTTTAATATTGCACCATGTTGACTTTTTCATTATTCATACGCTCTATCTCATCGATTTTTATTGTGACTTTTACAGGAGGAAGTTTCATTTTCTTATTAGAAAATACTACTATATAGACTCCCTAAGTCCATATTACTTTTCTTATACTTGTATAATCGTGTATTTTGAGTAGTCACTCAAGCTTAATACTAAAAAAAAATAGTTTGGTCAACAGATAACATTTCAAGATTATGACTGTCCAATGAAACAATTTTTTGAATTCTTCACATAGATAAACACTGAGAAATATTAATAGTCTTTTAACAGTTCAAAATACGACATAGATTATTGGCTATATATATGTCACATTTTAATAGAATGTTATCATTAGCATATAACATTTCCACAACTAAAAATGGTCAAATCTACCCAATTCTGCCTTTTTGCGCTATGTCTCATTTCGGTTCTTATTGCAAGCACTGGTGAGTTCTTAATCAGCCCTTGATATTAATATTACAATTTTGGTTTTTTGTTTTGTTTTTTTTTTTTTTTTTTTGGAGGGCATATTACAATTACAATTATGCTCTGATATGGTAGTCTTATTTGTTGTGTTATTTCTATGCATATAGAGATATAAAGAGTCATAAAATTAAGAGAAATGATGTATGTCAATATGATTATATTTCAATTCAGAGTTTAATTTGCTTTAATTTTTTTTTTTTCATAGCAAAAGTAAGCCATTGATCCTTTCATCTAATCAGATTCTACACAGTGTACTGTTTAATTTGCTTTATATTTCAATTCAGAGTTTAGTTTGCTTTTAAAAAAAAGAATTTTTTCATAACAAAAGTAGGATTTTTTACCAAAATGGCTAATTTTACAAAAGTATTTATCAAAACGGCTAATTATAAATTTTAATTCTCAAACTACCTAATTTATTAACTTAGAAAGGATTTATCTATTCTTATATTCCTTTGAACCGGTTTGGTTCATATTATGGGTTTTTTTAAAAAAAAAAAATTTGTTTTATTTAAAAAAAATAGCTTTTTTAAACAAAAATTTTTTATTTTTGTTTTTCTATGGGAAATTCTAATGCCATAGTTTAAAATATCCCATTAATTCTAATGCCATAGTAATTAATTTATGTATATCGCTTAAATTTTCCAATTTAAACAATCTTTTTGAAAATTAAGAAAAAAAAATTATATAGTAAACTTAACAAGTTCAAAGAAAAATAAGAAATAGATAAATTACTTCCAAGTTAATAAATTAGCTAGTTTTGGAAATTAAATTTTATAATTAGCCGTTTTAGTAAATACTTTTATCAAATTAGCTGTTTTGGTAAAAGATCCACAAAAGTAAACTATATATTGATCCTTTCATCTAATGACAGAGGACATATTTCAACATTAAGGCCTTAGGTTTGAATTTTGTCAATTAAATATTTTGTTGTGCACACCCACCCCCGCCCCCTCCATGGCCACCTCCCTTCCCATTTCATTGATTGGAATGTTTCCATAACACGGGCCAATAATTAATTACGTAATAATAAATTTCTTTTGTTTTATTTATAACACAACCTAGTGTCATATATTTTGAGGTCAGAATTATATAATGTAAATGTATAAATTAATCAAAAATAAATTTTACTAATTTTACAAATGGTACCTAATAGAAAAATTATTTTGATAAAAGGATAAAATAGTTCCTTTACCTTTACTAATCATCTCCTTAATGGTGCGGCATGGCTAGAGGTTGTGTTGCAAACTTGCAAGTAATTAAAAGAAAACGGATGAGTTATTATTATTTTAGTCACTTAGCATATCGATTAAGCTAATCCTTTCCATCTAACCCTGGTTAAATTAATCGAAACATGGAATTACATACTAGTTTTGTGACAAGCTAATTATTATCTAATTTGTTTTTCCTAGAATTCCAAAAGGGTGAAGCAGCTCTTATAGGTCCAATTATAAGGGCTTTAGGTCGTCTGAATTTCGAAAGAATTTACAGTGCCGTACAACTCGAACAAATACTACGTAATCTACTTCCAAAATGTACCGTGTTAAGCAACAGTACTGATCCGGTTATTTGTCCAGAAAATGACGATGACGATGATGATACTAACTGCGTACACCAGTGTAACAAATTAACAGCAGACGACACTGTTAATGGGACGTGCCTCGACTTCCCGGGGTTTAAGCCTCGTTGCTTCTGTTCAGATTTACACCATTGCTATCGTAATTGATTCAGAGTTTTTTGCAAAGTTTGTTGTTCGTTCAGCTCAAATCATCATTCGTATTGCTAATATATTTTCTACGAACTTACGGAATATTTACCATGTATATACCTAATGATCACCTATTGTGTGTATTTGATTGTAATAATGTATGGATCAGTTTGAACTAGATCCATATGATTTACAATGTATAAGAATGTATGATTTTTATTTTATTTTAAGAAAGTAAGCATGTATGATTTGTTGTATGTACATGTATTATATATGTAACATATATACTCGTATGAATTGAAGAGTGTTTTTATTATGAAAATCGACATTATGATCATTTTTTTTAGAAAAAAAATAAATAAATAAATTCCTGCCCTCAGCCCTCTTTTCTTTCTGCCTTAATTAGGTTATATCAATATATGTTCAATTCAACTTGCTTATTGAAGTTGATATTTAATTACTTATTGAAGAAGTAATCAAATCCTATCAAACCAAACTAAATAAGATCGCCGGCGCGGCATCGCTCTATTGGAAGATCTCAATGGGGCGGAGTCCAATCTGAGTTCTCCTATCCTGGCAACATTTTTTTGTCATTTAAAATTTAATGTACAAATTAGGTCGAAATTTGGCCAAATCTAGAAATTAGATTGTGGATGAATTGGACATAACCTTAGCTCAAACTTAGTTTGTAGGATAGGGATGAGACTAGGACCATTGCAGACTTTTTCAAAAGTGCAATGAGCTGATGATGACCGTTATTCAAGTGCTAAATATAGGTTATTAAAGTTGCGCATTGGTATGTATGAGCCATGATGGTGAGTATTATTATCCATACTCCCCCCAATTCGAATAATTGCACACACTCCTTTCGACAGATAATTTAAGAAAATGATAGGTGTGAACCATTAAATTAAGTTGTTCAATTAGTATTATAAAGGGGACATGTGAGAGTGGAAAATGTTAGTACACTATGACGACTGTAGTAAATTAAATACTTTATATATTCCATAAATATTGCAACAATTATCGTTTTTGAAAGTTTCCCAAATGTTGTTAGTTTTGTTACATTTCTTTATTTATACCGTTATAAGTTACACTCTGCTTTCTAAATACGAGTAAATGTAAACTTGGTGGGCAAGGACTTACCCCAAATTAGACTAGGATTCGGAAACCTTATTAGTTTTTTTATATAAATTCAAAGCTTTCTCGTCATATTCTCTCATAGTTGAAACAATAACAATTCCTCTCGATCTCTATAATTTTCTCAACTCTTTCAATCTTTTCACCTCTTAACCTAATTAGCAATGGCAGCATCAACCTCTTCTTCATCTTCGAACAAGAAGGTAATCCTAAGGAGTTCCGATAAAGAGACTTTCGACGTCGATGAAAAGGCAGCAATGCTTTCTCAAACCATCAAGAACATGATCGAGGACCTCGACGACAGCACCGATCCCATCCCGCTTCCTAATGTCACCGCTAAAACTCTCGCTAAGGTTATCGAGTATTGTAACAAACACGCTAATGATGAAGATAACTCCGATCCCGTAGCACAACCTAATGATGAACTCAAGCAGTGGGATAAGGACTTCCTCAATGTCGACCAAAACACCCTCTTTGATCTCATTCTTGTGAGTATTTTTCTTTTACTTTAATCTTTTTTTCTTTAATTTAGTTCATTTCTGATTCACTTTAAATTCTTTCTTTTTCTCTAATTTTTTTCTTTCGTTTGTTTTTATTTATTTTGCTGCTTTAATATATGATTAGGGCTAATATATGCTACAAGTATTATTATCATTATGTTTATTATTAGTCTTTTTTTTTTTTAGTGTCATGGTTCGGAAGTTTATAAAATATGATTTCTTTAACAGATAAGATTATTATTAGGGTTTATAATATAAAGAATTAATCTTATTGCTTAGGGTTTTGGATTTTGAAATTTATAAGATTCAAAGGACCGTTAACTATATTTAAATTATAGTTTAAGATTGGTTGATTATTTGTAAAAGTCTTTTTATTTGATGAGTTAATTCATGTCTCTATATATGTTGGTATTCAAGTCATAGTGTCATACGTGTTTTTCCATACAAATATTTGGTGTTTTTTTTTTTAAAAAAGAATTATGTGGTTGATTAATACAGTATTAATTAATTATTTGTTGATGAATTGTAGGCTGCAAACTACATGGATATCAAGGGATTGCTTGATTTAACTTGCCAACATGTTGCCGATATGATTAAAGGAAAAGCACCGGAAGAGATAAGGAAGACATTCAACATCGTGAATGACTTTACACCCGAAGAAGAGGAAGAAGTTCGAAGGGAGAATCAATGGGCATTCGAGTGATAGAGTAGAAATTACTAAGAATATCGTTATGTTTCATTACAATCTTATTATTTCAAACTATGTTTTAATTAGTTTAATTCTTTGTTGTTTATTGTTTATATAAACTATATACATTGCATTACTTTAATGAAATAAAATTTTATTCTTGGTTTACTGAACTTCTTACTCTACTTAACAAGACAACGTTCAATTTTAAGCGGGGAATAAATATTAAGTTGCAGTAACATAGACAATAAAGATTAACAATGAGTGTTATAAATTCAGCTCAGAATAAGATTTTATTCAAAACATTAAAATCAGTATAATTTGCGGTAAAACGAACTTACAGTGTTAAAATCAGGTGTCCTTACCTTATTTGCTTACTCCAATAATTCGACCTAAAGCCATTAGCCATCTAATGCGTGCCGTGGTAGCCATATGTGCTGCATAAAAATTTGGCAATTGTCCATCAAATTTTGAGTGAATATTATAGCTTAGCTTCCACCCTTCCAATTCTATATACTATACGGACTAGCTCCATGACTAACACATGTCCCTATTTTAGTTTAGTTTTTTTTTGGGTTAAAAATTGTTACGTGTATTATTATACGAGTACATGTTTTCTCTCTTTTTCACTTCTCATGACATGTGTCTCTATCTTTATTCCTCTCTATCTCTCTTCTCTTCTTTAAATCCGTGTCTCTTCCCCTTGTTGCAGTATATAGGGAACAAAAGAAGAAATTTTTTATAATAATAGTTTCTTGTCATTTATTTGATTGTATCTATAATTTATAAGTGTCAATTAATTTAAAACAAAGGGTGTATCAACTATCAAGATTATCAATCCTTCTGAACCAAAGGATGTGCAAAATCCGAGTCAAATTGAAAAGGAATGGACCCGAACCGAATTGAACCAAGGGATTCCAATTCCTTAAAAAACCTTGATTGTAGATTTTAGCCCCAGTCCAAATCCGGACCAACAAGCTGCTTATGAAATAGAACTGGTTGAAAGCCCAGCCCCCAGTAGACTTCAGTGTTTTTTTTTTTTTTTTTTAGCCACCCCAACAAACCCAAAAAAAAAAAAAAAAAAAAAAAAAAAAAAAAAAAAAAAAAACAAATTATGCCTAATAACTTATTCGAACAGATTAATGGATTTTTTTGGGTCTGAAAGTACGAAAACCTTGAGACTTAAAGAAATAAAACCATGGCCAATACGCAAAAACCATTTATTTAACTTGAATTCTTAAATTAACTCAAATATATTTAAAATTAAATGCTCATATCATATAATCATACAACTAATATATAAAGCTAAACTTTTAGCCAAGTGATTTTGATAAAATACCAATATTTCATATACACAAATTGAATTATAATTTTATTCAAAAAATGATTAGATTATAACTCTCATAAATTATCATATAAATTTATTTTTTGTATCATAATATTTTTCTGGAGCGAAGGAATTAGTTCAAAATGTACCACATCCATTGTTTATAATATATTCTAATCAATTAAAATAATATACTTCACAATCTTATATAATTTTATTACTATGTGTAGACCTGTCAATCAAGTCGGGTCACCAGTCATTTCAGACAGGGTCATTATTTCAGGTTATGGGTCAAGAAATATTTTTCACCAATATTATTATTATTAGTCATTACATGTCTACAAGTTTAAATCGTCACAAAATATATCAATTCTTAACTAATTTTGTATTAATGATATGTTTTAAAATTTGACATACAGATTAAAAATATATCTTAAAATTCAATAAACAACTCGGGCATCGCACGGGCACAAAACTAGTAACTAATATATAAAGCTAAACTTTTAGCCAGGTCACGATGTTGCGACACTTGGCGTTTTAACTTTTCGCCAATTGTCACGTTACGTTGAATTCTATTTGGATAGAATTTTATGATAAAATTTTAAGTTTAGAATTTTATTTTCTATAAAATATCAATATTTTAGAGATACAAATTGAATTATAATTTTATTCAAAAAAATTATTAGATTATAATTCTAAAAAAATCATATAAATTTATTTTTTATGTCATAATATTTTTTTTGGAGTGAAGGATTAGTTTAAAGCGTAAAATATCTATTTATAATATATATTAATCGGTTAAAATAATATACGTCACAATTAATAGAATTTTATTACTACATAGACCTATCAATTAGGGTCGGGTCGGGTCGGGTCATCAATCATCTCGGATTGGGTCACTTTAGGTTATGAATCAAGAAATGTTTAACCCTTGCCTAAAGTTTTGGGTTCGGGTCAACCCAACGGGCTTTGAACATTTATCTTATTTAATTTATTAATAGCTTTTTTTTAATGTATTAAATTGAACATTTCCACCAACATTAGTATGAATCATTAATTACATGTCTAGCTACTAGATATCAAATCGTCACAAAAGCACATCAATAAACATATCAATGGTATATTTTAAATTTGACATATAGATTAAAAATCTATCTTTAAATTCAATAAACAACCCGGGCATTGCACAGGTACAAAACTAGTGTTAACTAAAACAAATCATCACTTATTTTTAGGGTAACCACGAGATTCACGAGAGAATATCTCTTAAGTAGCTTTGTTTGTTGTGACCAACCACTACGTGCAATAAGGTGACACATACTAAAACACTGACCAAGTAACCACAAGTCCCCGGCCACACAACCTCTTATCAAGTATATTAACGCAACTAGATATAGCATAAGAAAGTAATACAAGGATGAATAATATAATCAGGTTGAGTCTTATTTGATTTATCTTAAAAATAATACAATATTACCCTAAACATGGCCTAAATTAACTTAATGATATTTTTGCACTAAAATAGTCTAAATATACAAAAACTGTAAACATTAATCAGATAATTTGCCTGGATAGATATAATACCAAGTGCATACGTACAAAGAATGCAATTAATTGAGAGCAAAAGATGGTTGGTGCATCCAACCGACAAGTTATACAATTCGTTGCTTAATTATGTTCTTATATTATACATCATTGCTTTCGTACGCTCAGCATTGAAGGACAATAATTATACATGCAAGTAATTATTAGTGATTGTGATATATATTAATCCGATATATTAAGATTATAATCTGCCAATGATCATAAACATTAGTATAAATAATTAAATATGCATGTATGGACTTTGGTACTATCTTTTGTTTAAAGTATGTATGTTATTAATTTTAATAAATCGTTTGGCCTCAAAAAAAAAAAAAAAAAAAAAAAATTAATAAATCATAATTAATTCAAGATTGTGTTCACATCTTTTGAATGTATAATGCATACGAAAAGCTGAAAGATGTTAACTAACAACTGTTTACGGTTACAACTTGAAAGGTTTTATGATTATATCTAACATCTTTGATCCATTGTCAAAATACAATTAATGAAATTTATGCAGTACAATTAACTACTTAACTAAGTATTTAAACATAGGTTTCTAAAGTCAAATTTGAGAGCCTACCAGTTTTTTTTAATAAATAAGCTAGGAAGAGTATAAATAGTTTAAAGTCGCTGAATGCTTCAATAATGATAATCACAAAAAGGACAAGTTATCTAATATGCACCCGAGAACACCGTGCATCCAATATAGTTAAAAAAAAAAAAAAAAAAAAATGATGCTTTATATACTGGAGTACTGACAAATTTGTACCTAAAAAGTTTGTACTCTTTAGTGACAAAATTGTACGTGTTGTAACTCTGTAAAACGTTTTTACATGCAACATCATCTTCAATCTACAAAATTCAACTTTGAGATCTATTATATAAATGGTATACCTAATTAAGATAAATAAAGCTGTACGAAATCAATTTACCTAAAAATTAAAAGACAGCTAAATTAATTTTATTCATCAAGTTCTAGCTGATTTGAGTTATTAGTATCCCCTTTTGGCTTTTGCTATAACCTCATTCTCTCACTCATCCATCCATCTTTGATGTAAAAACATAAGCAGTCATTTTCTCATTGTAGACACCTACTTTTGGCTCAATTACACCCAACAAAAAAAAAAAAAAATCACTGATAATGTTAGGAATATAGGAAAATATATCAGAATAATAATATATTATTCTGATATATTTTCCATATAGATCTCATAATATTATATTTTAGGAAATTATATGATAATATTCAGTTGCTATATTTTGTGCCTAGAATATAATCTTTTGAGATCTTTGTGATATTTCCTAATTTTATCACATTAGGGAAACCTTGTATGATATATTGGCTATGGCCGTATCAATGGGGGGCAAGTGATTGAGTTTATTCAATTTATCATATTCTCTCTATAATTTAGCATGGTATCAAGAGCAGGTTAAATCTTGGGACCGTTCACACAAATACTCCCCCTGCCGGTGGGTTAGAATATTAAACCCACCGGTGGGATTCATAAATTTGCTTCCGCTATGCAATAGTATTGCTCTTTGAAATTTCTATTTTTTTTATTTAATCTTTTTTTTTTTTGGAATAACCATGTGATACGTGGGTTATTATTGGTGTATGTGATCAATATGAATGATCATATGTGATTTGGTTAGGTTGTAGTGTTTGAGTGTGCTTCCTCCATTATTGCATCTCCATGGAGATGAAGAAAAGCCACGTTTGGCGTATTATTTATTATTTAAAAAAAAAATGCAAAAGACCACGGACACCAGCGAAGGGCCTGACAAAGAAGATCACGGACACCAGCAAAGGGTCGTGGCAAAGAAGATTACGGACACCAGCAAAGGGTCGTGGCAAAGAAGATTACGGACACCAGCAAAGGGCCGTGGCAAAGAAGACCACGGACACCAGCAAAGGGCCGTGAAAGAAGACCAAGGACACTAGCAAAGGGCCGTGGTAGCAAAAGTTCGTTTTTTTTTTTTAAATAAAAAAAATTGAAGGCGACATCAACATAGTAGTGCAACTCAATCGACTTCAACAAAGTGCGACTTTCCAATCGTAACGTTCGTGTTACTGCCGTTACGATTGCGGGAGGGTGTTAGGAATATAGGAAAATATATTATTCTGATATATTTTCCATATATATCTCATAATATTATATTTAGGAAAATAATATATCTTAGTGATATTCTAAGATAGATTTATGGAAGTTTATATGATAGAGTTTATATTGTGTAGGTTATCTTTTGTAGGCTATAAATAATAGCCAAGATCATCAATACAATTCAAGTTATTCTCTCATAAATAATTTGTCAGATAAAGATATATCAAATATTTTAAAGTTGTACATAACATTTAATGGAGGTAGTATATAATTCCCACTTATCAACAATAAGCTAAGCTTTGAAGGCTAAAACTCATGAACCTATTTGAACATACTTGGTGGTCTAAGACATCTAAAACTCATTTTATGGTGCGATCCTCCTCTACATTCTTAAGTTGACGATATATACCTTACATAGCCATCTAACGTAGATGTACTCGTGTTTAGATAATATATCGATCAACAAATCTACAACATAATAGGATATTGATTATTGATCCTTTGATGTTGTTTTGTATATAGGAGTTCAGGTTCATAACATTTTGATTCATATGCATTACGGAGTACATAATATGTCTACTTGTACTTCAGCTTCAGATACAGATGCCTGTTATTCAATTTGTTTGCCTTAGATCCTCCATTTCGATTGCATTTGAAAGAAACGTTATTCGTTGGTCTAGTAGCAACATCATTCCAAAATCGAGCAATCTTTGTGTTAATGCTAGGGATGAACTTCATTAATGTCATGAAAAATCGATCATTATTTGAGATAGCTTAAATGTCCTCATCCGTGTGGACTATTTCAAAGGATGTACCACTACCTCTCCATAAGATGTAGAGATGAAGGGATAGCATAACGAAAATGTACATGTACACGCCTAGGCCAACCCAAATTGTCTCCTAAGCCCAAACCACGTCAATTTTAAATGCAATTTAAATCTTTATACTGCCATATTCAATTCACCTCACTTTCATGTCAAAATCTGACCTAATATACCCGTTCTAAAACCACTCAAAAAATATTCGATTCAGATTTCAACTTGCATGAAAGCAATAATTTATTATGACATCAGTTTGAAATTAAACTTGATCCGAACCGATCTCATCAAACTTGACTCGAACATTTAAATTGACACATATAAGTCCATTATCCAGATTTGATACGATGTATATAAGCGTTACACCTTACACCATCGACCTCGACCCCATTATCCCCCAAATAAAGAAAGGAAAAATACAATAATATCATAATGGTCACAAAACACAATAAATCCATGTATGTCATAAGCTCATGTGACATGCCTATAAATTTTTTAATATGCATTAAATGATTTGCCAATTTATTATAGAGAGCTATAATTATTGACACCCCCAAGATGGTTGTGAAATACAGATGTACGTACACGTAACAAAAATCACCCAATTCGTTCCCCATAATATATTAGGCCAAATCTCCCTCCAAACTTTCACATATATAGTCACTCTCTCTCTCTCCTCTTCATTTATTCCTCCAGCCTAGTACCACCCACTTTCCTCCTCTTCTCCTCAACCAAAAAACTACCTTCTACCCATGTTTTATCACTTCTTTCTCCACTACCCCTTTTTAATAAATCTTCCGAAAAGATATTAGAGATATAAGATATCGAAAAATATATCCTGAAAAAAAAAAAAAACACACTTCTAAAACTCCTCAGAAATCCATTAATTTGACAAAAACGCGAACAAATGGAAGGAATTTCAGCTAATGTGTACAAAGGTATAAGAGGGTATTGGAAAAGAAAAGGGTATAAAAAGCTAGTCAAAAACAACAGAAATAATGTCCAAGCCGGAGACCCGGTTGTTGACACCGGGTCGGGTTTGGAAACAAAACCGGGTCAGGGTCAGGGTCAGGGGCGAGGGCGGAGGCGGAGATTCTTTCGGGTAAAAATAGGGCGAAGGATGCGGATCTGGAGGAAGGTAGTGGGCATGCCTAAGAAGTGGCTGACCCGTTTAAGGGATGCATATGTGAATATGATGCTTAACTTAGCTAACTCCGGGCTTGCGGTTGGCAGTGCCGCAGCCGGGTTTGGAGGATCCGTTGAATATAGCGGGTTTGGGTATGGATATGGTAGTAATAATGGTAATAGAGGTCAACTTAAGGAATATGATGAGAAGATGATTGTTGAAATTTATAAGTCTTTGATCATTGCTCAAGGACAACTTGGAAATGGTGCTAATAAAGTTACTACTACTACTAACTCTCAGCAGCAACTTCTTAAGAGTCCTCCAAAAATTACCATTTCTGCGCGGTAACTTTTTTTTTTTTTTTTTTTTAATTTTAATTTAAAAGTTTTTTTTTTTTTAGATTAATTGATTATGAGGTAAAAAAAAAAAGGTTGGAACATGTTACTAGTCTTCCTACTAGGCACTAGCTAGTGCTCCAAGCTGACTTCTATGTCATGTTCTTGAATCTTGATCATTGATGTGTAAGGGTATTTTAGACTTTTAATTTTGATTATTAGAATAATAAAATCTCATTAATTAATTTCTAGGTATGTTAATTGTTATTCGTACCCCTAAGAAATAATGTAATCTTCCAATCAACTATGTATAATTGTTTACATCATACTTTTTAAACTATTTAATCCTTTCTCTCATTGAACTTGATTTTTGTTAAATTGTAATCATCTTCATTGCTTTATGTATTTTGTCAACTAATTAAATGCAAATTGATAGGAACAACATGCATTATATAATGGGCCATTAATTTAAGAAAAACATACATCATATAATGAATACGTTAATGTAGTCGTTAGATTAAAGGATAACTGAATAATTAAATAGGTATTAAATTATATTCTTAAATTAAAATTATAACATTAATAGCACCGAAATATATTTTACGTCAAAGTATAACACTTATTTATAGCTTTGAAGGCTATGTATAACAAACGAAACTTAAAGAAGTATAGGTAGTAGCGTATGTTATTTGATTAAGATATAGGATTTTGAGAGTCTAGAATAATGTGTTTTATACTCCTATTTTGACTACTATTTTGGCTACTTAATCAAAGAATAACACGAATATATACAATCAAACAACTTATAATACTTTTTTTTTTTTAATGTGATTTGGTAACAGAATTGACAAAGACATACATGTAATGAAAAATACAAATGGGTTAACGTTTTACTCAAAAAAAAATTGCAACTTTAAAATAAATACTAAAGATGTTGCTTAATAGATCCATTATGTTTTATATTTCTCAATACTATTCAAGTAATGTTTGATTTTGTTGTGAATAACTCCACGGCCGTAGTCCTGTGAGTAGTTTAGTATGTCAAATTAATTACTCCCTCCGTCCCCGAATGATAGTCACTATTTTCATTTTTGGACACCTAACATGTTAGTCACATTTCACAATTTTAGGTCTCATATAATAACACAAAATGACCTATGTACCCTCATTTTTTTTGGATGTATTATCTGTGCTTCCCAAAACACCCTCATATTTGCCTTTGTACTTGTGCCTTAATTGAATGAGTTGTCTCCCTTTTTAATAATGACAATCAGTTTCTCTCTCTTCTTTTTGTTTTGCACATGATTGAATTTTAGTTCCCATGTACTTTATTTATTTCTCCTTAATTCCCGTGATTTTCACCCAAAAGTGACTATCATTCGGGGACGGAGGGAGTACTAAAAAAATAAATTTCCTAATATAAATGTACTCATTGAGTCGATACTATTATAAAGCTTGTTATATACATACGGGTGTACCGTAGATCTACAATAATTGTCATCTATATATAATTACTCAGTATTTATTAATATAATTTAATTTTTTTTTATAATGTACTCTTTGAGTCATTGTTATTGTTTTATTTTAATAAATACTCATAATAATGTTGTTTTATGAAATTATGATATAGTAGCATAATGAACTCTTGTCCCCTAAAAATTAAAAATCTTAGTTGTGCTAATTTAATGTGTGAATATTTTTATTGGTATTTTGATATGCTTATTATGCTATTATAGATTATTTATTGAAAAATAATACATTTTTAAAATGTTGTAAAGAATGCCTTCAATGGTTGGTTAATTCATTTAATACCGAGTAGCTTTTACGTTTTTGAGATGTATGTACGGTAATGATAATATGAGAAATCCACAAAAGAAAAACAGATAAGCATTTGCTCAACTTCCACCAAAACTACTTTTAATTAATTTTTTTTCATAATCTACAGATTTTTATTTTTTGGGTGATTTGAGTCCGGTTCACAAAACACAGCACGTTCCCTAATCCGTTACCTAAAATACAAACTAATGGAATAAAACAAACTAAAAGTTAATTACATACGAAATTGAGTATGAAATATCCAACAAAACCAATCATTAAAAATGGAGTAATAAAAATTATATCTTCCATAAACAACTTTTTGGTTTCATCAAGAATTTGGGAAAGCAAAATCCATTTATAGTTTACCAAAACTCTAATTGAGATCAATTGTTCCTCAACAGGGGTTGTCATTACATGGAAACATTAAATTTAAGTAAACTAACATTACCAACTACCATAATAAACTTTTACATGTTGTTCCAAAATTGATTAATTAAGTATTCACACCAACAATGATAGAAAATCATAACAAAAAGTGTAATTTATCGAGTTGTTTATTAGTATGTTCCTTTTCTCTGTAGAAAATTTGTGTCAATACTTTTGAACATCATATGTTGGGAGTAAGTAGTGTTTTGTCAATCCTTTTAGAATATCATGTTTTGAGTAAGTAGTAAGGCAATATTACTAAATGTTCATTTAAGCATTTGTGAAAACAAAGTATTAGTCTACAAATACTAGATTCAAAATCAATTAAACAAATTTTTAATTTTATTCAATATGAGAATTTTGCATACAATCTCTAAATTGTTTTATTGATTCAATGTCGACGTTGAATTTGGCTCGGCTCACAAACCAATTTGGTTATTACTTGATGAAGGACCATCGAGGCTCGATCTCAATCAAATATAATTGTATTAATTGCATTGTTTTATATATTTTAATTAATTTGAGTGAAATAAATTAATAAAATCAACTCAATTAAGTTAATTTAATCAAACCAATTAACTTTCAAGGGTTAAAACCAATAAAATGGTGGACTATTAATCTATTATTAATAGTTCATTAGTTCATGATTAATAAGTTTAATTTAAAAGCCAAATACGCATGATAAACTTCATTCCAAGAGTTTCCCCAATTTTTAAATAGAGTTCTTTCTAGTCTCTACCTCATTTAAAGGAAAAACTCATATTATAACCTAGAAGGATTGAGCAATGAAAGAACAAGAAAACTCTTAACTACAACATTCGGTAATAATGTGGTAAGTCAATGACATGATTGAACCAAAAGAAATTCTTACTAGAGTTTAAGGGCCTGTTCCGATTGACTGAACTCAGCTGAACTGAACTGAACTGAACTGAACTTATTAATTAGTGATTTTTAACTACGGATTAGTGATCTTTGATTATTTATTGATTATTTATTACTATACATATGTGTATATACAAATGTACATATTAAAATATTTACGGAAAATATATTATAAAATGTATGGAAAATATATTAAAAACTTGAACCTCTAAACATTTTAAACACATATACTATTTATTATTATTATTATTATTATTATTATTATTTATTGATGATTATTATTAGTATTATTATTTCAATTATTATTGTTATTATTATTATTATTGTTATTATTATTATTATTATTATTATTATTGTTGTTGTTGTTGTTTTTGTTTTTGTTGTTGTTGTCGTTGTAATAAGAGCTTAAAAGAATGAAATTTGGCGTTATATCATTAGCAATATCATTAGACATAAATTAAGAGCTGAGCTGAACTGAACTGAGCTGAACTGAACTGAACTGAACTGAATTTCAACGGAACAGAACAGGCCCTAAATTTGTAATTTTTGATGAGTTAGTGCGTGAACTACTAGTAATAGATAGATTTTAGCACTAGCATAAAGCTAGGTAAATTGTAGAGTTGAGTATTAGCATTAATGAGCTAGCTTAGAGAAATATGTATTACTATTAATAATACTAGATTAATTAAGACGGACATTAAGTCGAAAAAGATTAGTATCAACCTAAAAGGAAAGATCACTTTTAGCTTAAGCTTCACAAAGTTGAAGTTGAACTTGAGTAGGCATTTTGACATATAATGACAAGTCACGAATTCTTTTAATAAAGGGAACAACAGTGTTTTTACATATCTATTTAACTATAAGTAGCAATGTGATACTTACAAGTTACAACACTAATGAGTTCCATTTGTTCTCTCTAACTCATCGAAACATTTTTGCTAACATCGGTAAAATGTTACTATTATGGAGCAATTTCTTATAAGTAATATACGTGCTATTCCAATTTTATTCAATGTAATTAATGAAAACTCGTATTATTTTGCAACTTATCATTAAGGGCCTGTTCCGATTGACTGAAATGAACTGAACTGAACTGAGCTGAACTGAACTGAACAAAACTTATTAATTAGTGATTTTTAACTACGGATTAGTGATCTTTGATTATTTATTGATTATTTATTACTATACATATATGTATATACAAATGTACATATTAAAATATTTACGAAAAATATACTATATAATTATAATTATAAAATGTATGGAAAATATATTATAAAATGTATGGAAAATATATTAAAAACTTGAAACCTCTAAACATTTTAAACACATATACTATTTATTATTATTATTTATTGATGATTATTATTATTATTTATTGATTATTATTATTAGTATTATTATTTCAATTATTATTGTTATTATTATTATTATTATTATTATTATTATTATTATTATTATTATTATTGTTTTTGTTGTTGTTGTCGTTGTAATAAGAGCTTAAAAGAATGAAATTTGGCTTTATATCATTAGCAATATCATTAGACATAAATTAAGAGCTGAGCTGAAATGAACTGAACTGAACTGAATTTCAACGGAACAGAACAGGCCCTAAGAATATTTTAAAATTTTCCTACACTGAATAAACGAGATGAAGAAAATAAAAGAGGGAAAAAAGGGTATTAGAGCCTGTTCTCATACGTTTATTTTCAGTTCATTTTAATTCAATTTAGTTCAGTTCAGCTCCTAATTTCCTTCTCTTATAAAATATTCAGTTCAGTTCAATTCGGTTCAATTCAGTCAATGAGAACAGACCCTTAAGTTTTTTTATTTTTTATTTTTTTTAATAACAAAAGGTACCTGGAAATAATTACTAGTCCCATCTATGGAAACCTAAGCATACTAAAATAAATTCATTCATGACTAATTGCTGCTACTAAAAATAGAAATTATCTTTGATTTGAATAACAAAAGCATAATTTTACAGAAAGATCATTAAACTTCAGGAGAGCAGCACATTATGGAGTAAGATTTAGGATCATGTATGGGTAGGGTCCAACCAAGATTGGGACGAAGTCTCATGCTATCTTCTTCGTTGGGAATCTTTGGATGTGACCTAGTATTTTAACCTATAGTCCCAAAAAATTAAATAAATAAATGAAAATTTCCCTTGGTTCACACGAATCACACTTTCATAAATTTAATTTCAAGCTCCCCCAAGCTCTACATTA